GATCGAAACCGAGCAACTTTGTCCGCCAAGAACTGAACATACTCCTCAGCCTTACCCTGTAGGGTAACAGAGATGGCAAAAAAATGCATCTGAAAATATATTATATTGTCAAACTCAAAAGGCTTTGATACTTAATTGTCATCATCATCATCATCATTATCTCTCTCTCGCTCTCTCTCTCCTCCCCCACTCAGAGGGACTGTTGTCCCTTGTGGAAAACACAACAAGGAACTCCTCGGCTCCTTGCTCCCCCTCCAAATCTCTTTGTTTGTTGTTGTTGGCCACTGGTGGTCACTGCATATGGTCCTCGACGATATGCTCTTGCCTGCCACCCCTTCGAAACGCTCAAGGACAGGACAAAATGGCACGGATCCTTTTATTAAAATCCTCTGTATTACAAAGGCATTTTAATAAAAAGATTGTGATGATGTCATTGCCTCACCAGCTATAAACCTCACCGCACGTCACTGCTAAGGACACTAACTTCCAACCCATGCAGATGGCCCCAAAGAGTCCCCTATATTTCTGGATGCAATTCAAAGTGCTAATCCCCAACCCCAAAGAACCATGATATTGAAGGCTGTTGAAAAATACATACCTCCAACCTTGGTTCCATCTGAGATTATCAGTGAGAGTAAGCAATGGTAGACTGAATGAAAAGCGTATAGGTAATTAATTTCTTTTAGGGCCTTTGTAGCTGATGTCACGTCATCTAAAAAGGGGGGATTATTCAACTGGGTGAGTAAGTACAGTAGGATCCAGGATCAGCCTGTTAAGGAGAGGGCACACAATGCCTCTTTCAAGCACATTGGCATATTTCCATCCACAGTGAGGTATTCACAACTGTATAAGGCCAGCACACCCACTCATCTCTTCCTGATAGCATAAGCCAGATGGAGCAGAGACCAAGTCTGTAGGTGGAGGATTGTTTCACCCAGGATTCTTTCCATTTCTTTAAAATCAACAGGTTCTAATGATTCCCAGAAAATATAATAATCATGCCTTACAGGGGCTTTATGAACAGTTACTTGCTATTGCAGATACTCACATGTAGCTTGTCTCTCCTGGGTTTCTCCTGCTACATCCTTGTTAAATGATGTATAGCTTATCTCAAAGGAATAGATTTTATTGTCTGCCATAAGAATAAAGAACAAGTAGGTATTTTTGAAAATATTTTTTGAAGAAAGGATCAGTTCAGATGAACACAAAAATTCTTCTGGTGAGAATGCTTGGAAATAGACAGTGGACAATAGGAACAGGCGCTACAGGTTTACTGAAATAAATCTGCCATTATTTTATAGAAACATAATGAATGCTTGTTCAGCAACAAGTGAAAAGAAGGCCAGGAATGCCTTTCATTCCCTTCCAGTCGCTGTGTTTGTTTGCTTCTTTGTTGGTTTATGTGAATGCAATGCCATCCAACTCTCGTGTGACTCTGGGGGCGTTCACAGTATAACAAACAGAATAAGAAACACTATAACAAAACCAAAACCATACAGCAGAAGAAGCAGACCAGAAAGGAAGGAAAATAACAAGATGGTAGATGTGGCAGATGACATAGAACATATACACCAACAACATGTGTGGTCTCCTTCCTTGTTCACTCTCCCAAGCAGAGTAGTAAATGTAAATATTATTCTTTTCAAAATCTGTATGCAACAATCCATTTTGATTGGTCTGTGCTGGAAATCTAGAACTGCAAAATACTCATGGGCTAGCATAAGCTTTGCTAAGGTATCCTACCACAGTTTTGGTGTTTCCGTTTAATTTTATATAATAATAACATCCTTTTTTTATTGTACAAATTCTTAGCATTATATATGCTTCTGTATGAGTCTATCCATCCATATGTCAAAGACATTTTTATGTATCACCTCCTTCTTGAGATCCAAGGAAGGATTTATAACAATTAAAAGTCAAAACTCTTGCTTGCATATCTGTCTTCTCTTCATAGTAGAAGTATATGTTTTATATGCTAAAAATGTGAATTTTTAGCATATAAAAACTGAATGAACTGACGTGAATTTCAGTTCAATCGAATGGTTGGTTAATTATTCTTAATTAATTATTCTTACTATATAAGCATAACATCAATAGTGGCTTATTTCTTGTATTTTCTCTGATCACACTTTGAATCGTGAATTCAAATAATGAATCATGTTGAATCACGAATTCAGCAACTGCTGTAAATACATTTGTATGTACAGTCCAGTAATGCCCAATTACGTCATGCTATACGTAGAAATGACTGACATTTGACTGATGAATTAATCTTTAGAAACTGACAGTTGAATTCTTGACCTCTTAATAAAAGCCCCTCAAATAGCAAACAACTCTCTAGTTTTCAATATGAGATTTTCAATATTTGATAGTAATGGCAAGGCACTCCTTTTTTCCCCCCTAGGACATGGAAACAACTACTTGTGAATTTAAAACCAAAGAAAACGAGACACTCTGTGAGAACAAAAAGGTTAGTTTCCATATTTGCTCTATATAATTTAATTGCTGCAACTTTCCAGTCAATATTTATTTGGAAACTAAAGTTGCTTCTCTAAGAAACAGCAACCAAGGAGGTGCAATCAAGATATCTCAAGAAGGTGGAAAGTTTGATTTTATTTTAAATGAGGGGATTTCCATAACCCATAGCATACTAATTATGGTTACATAAACTTTTTGAATGAATTCACACAAACATGGTGAATTTTTCAAGAACCGTGCTTCTAGGTGCTTAGAAATGCAATAGAGTGAGAAAATAATGGCTAATATGTAGTGACAAGTTTATGTAAAAAGACAATTTCATTTATATTGATTGCCAACAAGTAAGTTTTTCTGAGATGGGAAAGTTATGTATTTTACTCTTATGTGAGATATTACAATGTCTTTTTTCTGACAATGTTTCTTTTGATGATGACGATGATCATTGAAATATTTCAGCACTGTCCCAATCCTTCAGATGTACCACACAATCATTCTCCCCTGGAAATCCCACTGAATTCTGCTAGTTAGTTAAAAATTACCACTGGATGTATTTTGCATAAAAGACGTCCTTTGTGGTCTCAACCTAATCTGGCAATGTTCTTTGTAGCATCTGATCACCATAAAAAAAGAGATGGCTGCTGGAATTCCAGGAGACGACCCTCCCTATCAATCTGTCTTTCCATCATTGCCACTGTAACTGAGTCCATTTACCTTGTTTGGTAGTTACTGTCTTGGACATGGGTCAAGTCTTCCCTTTTGGAGGGCAATTGCAATATGAGAAAGACAAGCAAACAGATTTCCCATATTTCCCTTTCTCTCTCTCTCCTCCACTAGTGGAATAGAGGAGGAAAATTTATTCGGAACATTTTAACTTATCTCTGCTGCCTGTATGAATGCAGCTTCTGAGTTAAAAGTAAAGTTTTTTTTTTTTTAAAAAAAACACCCCTCTATATGTTATCTTTATGTTCTCAGAGAATGTTCAAGGAATGTTATAACCATCAAGATTCAGTAAAACAGTAAAACAGCACTATCAGTTTTTCATAATATAGCAGCAACAGTAATAAGAAAACAAGAAACTAGAAATAAACTCTTAATTTAGATTTCTAACAATAACTATTCAAAAATATTTTGATATGGTGAAGAAGGAAGGAGGACGGTTGATTAATTATGTACAAAATGTCATTTTTGATTCCTAGCAAACTATATAGATAGATTTTTCTCTGTACAAATATCTCTCTGACCTGGTCTTTCAATAATGCTTTCATTGCCACTGTAACTGAGCCCATTCACTTTGCTGCTAGTCATTCTTTTATTTCTTTCCATTGTCCACAGCATTAGAACCACCTCTAGGGAGCTAGATCCTCAGATAATGTGTTCAAAGTAGGATAATTTGAGCCTTGTCATTTGTTCCTCAAGTGGGAACTTTG